GATAATAATACACTTGTGTTCATTGTGGATGTCAAGGCCAACAAGCACCAGATCAAACAGGCTGTGAAGAAGCTCTATGACATTGACGTAGCCAAGGTCAACACCTTAATCAGGCCCGATGGAGAAAAGAAGGCATATGTTCGACTGGCTCCTGACTATGATGCTTTGGATGTTGCCAACAAAATTGGGATCATCTAAACGGAGTTCAGCTGGCTAATTCTAAATACAAATTTTTTCAAAAAAAAAAAAAAAAAAAAAATGGCCACAATTTGGGAACCATATACCTAAGGACAGTGGAGGAGATGTGACTAGATGTGAAAGTCAGATGCTGCAAAGGTCATTCAAGTTTAAATATACATATATTTTAAAAATAAAAAACACTGCCACTGAATTGATTCTGACTCAGCAAGCCCATATAGGGTTTCTGGGCTATATATCTTTATGGGAACAGAAAGTCTTATCTTTCTCCCATAGAGTGGCTGATAGGTTTCATCTACCAACCTTATGGTTAGTAGTCTAGTGCTTATCCTACCATGCCACCAGGGTTCCTTATAATTTTATGTGTAAATATAATTATAATTAAGCTGTTGTGTGCAGTTGAGTCAGTTCTGACTCATACTGACCCTGTATAGGGTTTCTGATGAGCAGCTGGTGGATTTGAACTTCTGACCTTGTGGTTAGCAGTCCAGTGCTTATCCTATAGTGCCATACCAGGATTCCAATTATATATATAGTATATATAATTATATATTGTTGTTGTGGTTGTTAAGTACTGTTGAGTTGGTTCTGACTCACAGAGATACTGTATAGGGTTTCTGAGGAGCAGCTGGTGGATTTGAACTGCTAACCTTTGTGGTTCGCAGTCCAGTGCTGATGCTACAGTGCCACCCCAGGAGTTCATAATTATATATATGTTTAATTTGAATGAGTTTAGCAGCATTTAACCTTTGCATTTAGTCACATACTCATTACTTCCTTCATATATATATATTTTTTCTATAGAATATATATACACAACAAACATTTGCCAATTCAACGATTTCTACATGCACATTTCAATGACATTGATTACATCTTCGTACCTTTATCCCCATCTTTTTCCTAATTATTCTACCACCATTAACATAAATTCTATTCCCCTCAAGCAAAAGCTTCCCCTTTACCTCCCCCTCCCATTCCTGTTGTTGTGGTTAGTTGCCATAGAGTCCATTTCAGCGTACAGTGGTCCCTTGTGTGAAAGTGAAACTGCGCAGGGCTTTTAAGGCAATGAATTTTCAGAGGAAGATCACAAAGCTTGTCTTCCAAGGCCTCTCTAGGTTTGAACTGCCAACCTATTGGTGAGTAGTGGAACACTTAACTGTTTATGCACATTTGACTCCTCCTAGACCTAGGACTCCTCCCCTGGAAACTACTAATAAACTCTGAATTTATATATTTGCTTATTTCAGTATTTGCCTCTCTTTGACTTATTTTGCTCAGGTGGTTCAAGCTCACTAGCCACTCCTCGGAAGCAGGGTTGTTATGGGTCAGAACCGACTTGACAGCACTTAACAACAAAGTATTTTCAAGGATCGTCCATGTTGTGGCATGTATCAGACCTTCATTTCTCTTTATGGCTGAGTAATATTTCATTGGAGTCCTAGTGTGGTGCTTCAGGATAATGCGCTGGGGTGCCAGGTCAGTTTGAACTGCAAGGTTAGTGGCTCAAATCCACCAGCCACTCCTCAGAAATCCTCTATAGGGTTGCAATGGGTTGGAACCAACTGGATGGCAGTTAACAATAACAACAGTCCATTGGGTGTATATACCCCGTTTTGTTTGTGATAGACATGTAGGTTGTTTCTACCTTTTGACTATTTATTGTGAACAGCACTGCAATGAACATTCGTGTACGGGCTTCTGCTGCACCTACTTCCCTTTCTTTTAAGTATATAACCAGGATTGGAATTTCTGGGTCATATGGTTGGTATTCCCATGCTCAACTTTTTGAGGAAACATTAGACTATTTTCCAGAGTGGGTATATCAGTTTTCCATTTCCTCCAGCAATGGACCAGGGTTTCAATTTCTTCACACCCACTCCAATGCCTATCATCTTCAGTTTTTGTTTGTTGTTGTTGTTGTTGCTATTTGGTTTTGGATCACTGCCATTCTAGTGGGGCTGAAGTGGTATTTCACTGTGGTTTTGATGTATAACTTCTTGATGGCTAATAATGTTGAGCATCTTTTCATGTACTTGTTGATACCTCATTTATGTTTACTTGTCTGGTTCTGACTTGTGTGTATCTCAAAGACATTTTATTTGGGTTTACATTTTAAACATGTTTCCCAATCAGATTTAAGTTATTAAAATTTCCCATCTTGAACCCCAAGAGTCAAACTGAAGAGGGGCTAATGTGGAGTAGTGCCAGCTACACACCCTAGGTGGAGCGGCTTGGTACCTATGTTCCTGGAGTGAGAGCTACTCAAGTTTGAATCTTGTCAGTCATGAGTCATGACTAGCTGATAAACCATGGTAGGTTATTTTAAATGTCTACATCTCAATGTCAAGAAAACAAAAATCCTCACCACTGGACCAATAAACAACATTCTTATCAATGGAGAAAAGATTGAAGTTGTCAAGGACTTCATTCTTCTTGGATCAACTATCAACACTCGCGGAAGTAGCAGTCAAGAGATCAGATGACATATTGCACTAGGCAAATCTGCTACACAGGAACTTTTTAAAGTGTTGAAGAGCAGAGATGTCAGCTTGAGGACTAGGGTGCGCCTGACCCAGGCCATTGTGTTTTCAATAGCCTCATATGGATGCGAAAGCTGGACAGTGAATAAGGAGGATCGTAGAAGAATTGATGCCTTTGAGTTGTGGTGTTGGAGGAGAATACTGAAAGTGCCATGGACTGCCAAAAGAACCAATTGATCTGTTTTGGAAGAGGTGCAGCCAGAGTGCTCCTTGGAGGCCAGGATGGCTAAGCTTCGTCTCTCCTACTTTGGACATATTGTCCGGAGGAAACAATCGTTGGAGAAGGATGTCATGCTGGGTAAGGTGGAGGGTGAGAGAAAAAGAGGAAGACCCCCAACGAGATGGATCAGCCAGGTGGCATCATTGATGGACTCAAGTGTGGCAGCGGTAGTGAGGTTGGCCCAGGATCGAACATTGTTTCGTTCTGCTGTGCATGGGGTCGCTATGAGTCGGTTCCGACTCGATGGCACCTGACAACAACAACAAAGCTTCCTCACTGGTAAACTGGGAGGATAACAATAGTATCTCCAGTCACTTTATAAGTGTCTTGTTATGAGTAACAGAGGTGATACATGCTGCAGTACATGATCCACGTCTGTACTGCTCACATCACTTGGCATCAAACTTCAAGAGGCATGGAACTCTCAAGTGGCAGTGACACCAGAGTCACACGAATCACCCAAGTGGACAGTAAAACAAGGTGGAAACGAATGAGCCAGGCCCCAGTCCTTGTCTGAGTGAAGCAAGGTAGAGTCGAGGCTTGATATTTGACCGCTCTGAGCGCAGGTGTTAACTTCCTTATCTGCCATAAACCAGTGGCATCATTAGACTTGGTATCACCTAGTGTGGTAACTCATGGTGTCATGTCCCCACCGTGGACCTCTTACAGCATCAGACCACAAAGAATCTTTAGTAACAGTTCTTGTGTTCATGTTCCTTGTTGGTTCCTCATAATTCCCATCCCTACCACCTTTTTTTTTAATTACGACGTCATTTCCAAAAATGTTGTTGATATAGGCTCAGCTATATTATTTACCGTAGTGGTTACAAATCGGGCTGCGAACCTTAAGGCCAGCAGTTCGAAACTACCAGTGGGAGAAAGATGAGGCTTTCTGCTCCCGTAAAGATTTATAGCCTCGGAAACCCTGTACAGGGTTCCTATGGGTCGGAACCGACTCGAAGACACTTAACAACAATATTATTTACCACAATACTATAGTTAAAGCACCAGAAAATTGAACAAAATCAGCAATTATAAAAACACATGTAGCAATGAGAACAGCAGCATGTGTTTGTAGTGCATGCAGAAGAAACCATGTGTATCTAAGTGTCATTGTATTTGGGTAATAATGACACTCTAACTAGAGTGCATTGTTATTGTTGTCAAGTACCTCATTGTTGTTGTTGTTGTTAAGTGCTGTTGAGTCAACTCTGGCCCATAGCGACCCTGTATAGGGTTTCCGAGGAGCATTAGAAGGTTCAAAAAGTAAATCAGCATACAATTTTAGTCTTGTGGGTAAGCTGGACTAATAAAAATGCTTTTGTTGTTATACCTAACTACAGAGATATTGTTATTTAAAATTTTTTTTGCTGAGACGCTGCACTAAAATTTTATAGACAGTCTTTTTGGAATCACTCCCTCCCTGTGACCGTGTCACCTGGTACATTCCTCACTCCCCTAGTGACAGCGCAGCAACAGACTTCAGTATGGAATGAAAGAACAGAATAGAATTGGAAGTTTTACAAATACTTTGCTACTTCATCAGAGTCAAATTTCTTGCAGACCATTAGAACTTTTGAAACATGTGAACTAACTTTCAGCTAATCTGAATGCATCTGATTAAAAAAAAGTCTCAGCTATATAAGGAATGCTTTTATATCTGGATGATTTCCTTTTACATCTTCTAAATACATACTAATATTTACTGGAACATACACACAGAAACTATAGGAATGCAATCTTCATTTTCAGGAGCGAGCAAATGAAACTCAAATTCAGCTTTTACCCTTTACTGTTAGTTGATAATAAAAACACAGTTACTTGTAAAAAGGAAAAAGAAAATTTGACCCCCAAACAAAATGATCTAAAGATTTTTCCTGATATCACTGCCTACATTTAAATATTCAATACCTTGCTTATATGAAACACAGTTGATTTAAAATGTAAAACCGTAAAATAGAAATGTAGGGGAAAGTCCAAATGATCAACAAATATAAACTGCTTATAATTTGCAAGGGAGACCCATTAATTACTCTTACCTCCTTCGAGGTTAAGATTTGGCGTAACTCTTTCCTGAGATCAATAAAACGATCGTGGAAGATGGCCATGCACCATGGCTCCATGAAGTAGCTAGTGAGGAGAAAAGAGATTCAGTTATCTGGCAAACCTCTCATTATCACTAATAAAGTATTTACCTGCTTTTTTGCCTTTATAAATTACAGTTCTGCCCTCGTAGCAATCGTTTGCCCATAAAATGCCTCGTGTAACAGGCTGACCAATCAATTTTTAAAATGGATGTTCCTGATGTAAGGCCAGGTTCCGTAATTACATTTAAAGTGGTTTAATTCAGAGCTGGGGCAAGACCCAGTGAAGAATCCTGATGTTATCAGAGTTTAAAAGCCTGAAGACTTGTAAAGGATGGTGTCTCTATTATCTGCCCTCATTTGAGAAAAACAGACTGCAGGATTAACTGAACTGCTGCATAAACAAATTAAATTTGAGTAGACAATAACACAAATGTTGTTCATTAAGGTTTCTAGATTAATAATGACCAGAGAAGCAGGCCACCTCGGTGTTGCAGCATGGTCTTCGTACAATTGCACTGATAGCTAATTGAATCTCTTTTAGGAGAGCAGGTTTTTTGGTGCCTGTATCTGTGAACTCTTCACTGAAAATTGTTTGACTAAATAAATGCTTTCTTACATGGAGAACAAAATGGTTGTCATCATTTATTTATAGGGGAGAGCAGAAAATGTGACATTCTTTTAGAATAATCAAGAATGTCTATTGGTGTTTTAACTCTTCCTTTATTTTAATGTGTGTCTTGGGATATGAAGCTAACCTCTGGGACACAGCTCCCATCACTGTTAGTGGGTATCACGTGTGTATACAGAGAAAGAAAGAAGTGTTGCCAACTCATGGACTGTTGCAAATGAGCATTTTCTATTTTCTGAGACTTTTTGGGAACAAGGTAAAGAGTTCCAGGTCCACTGAGACTTTATAAGATGAACATATGACCAGACTGTCCCAGAAAATATGTGTTAGGGTCAGCATGGCACTTAGCTCCACAAATCTTACCTACTATCTGTTCACTCAACCAGAATATGACCTAATGTTGTGTTTAATCACCTACCTTGTTTTTAGGGCCATATATCCATCCCATTGTTAATTCCACTAGTAAGTACTTCATACCCATAATGTGCAGGGACAAAAGTAAATACACCTGCCACCTTAGATGCTCAGATAGAGAAACCAGTGAATATTTAGAAATGATTACTGGTTAGGAGAAAAAATAAATCTAGGAGAAACAAGGGGGCTGGGGGCCAAGTAAGACTCACTCCTGAGACAGTGACTTCATGGGTTCCACTAAAGCCAAGCATGATTAAAAAAAAAAGAAAAAAAGACACTCTTGATGCAAACCAAGTAATTGACTTACAAGTTCATTTTCAGTTTTATTTTGTTTTGTTTTGTTTTGCTGCTTCCCTAGTAGCAATTTGTAAAGGAGGCTTGCAAAGATCATGCTCCTATATCTGAGATAGAGTTGATTTGTAATCACAAGGGGTATGCAGACACCCACCTTGTCTTGAGAACAGCTTCTACCACATCTGTTTACAATAGAAAATCATTCACAACGTGCCAAATATCTATAAGGAGACACTCTTAGCTAGGGATAAAACAGGAGTTTCAGAATCAGTCAATTACTAAAGGAGAGACAGAAGCCATAGTACAAAGGCATCCATCCAATAGGTAAAGAGCAGCCCAGGCCCATTTCAACCTAGCTGGTATCATTATATATTACAAAATAGATACAGTAAAACATTCTCCAATGCAGCAACTTCCACATCCATGAGGATATTGACATTTTTCATATTTTGTCACCATTGTTATTATCCTTTTTCTAAAATATTCCATCACCATTAATATAAATTAAATGCCTTACAAACAAAAACTTGCCCTCCTCCCCATTGCCATTACATTTTATCCAACAATTCAGTTGCCACTGAATTGACTTTGATTCATGGCATGTCCATGTGTGTCCAGACTATAACTGTGCTCCATAGGGCTGATCTTTTGGAAATTGACCACCAGATCTTTCTTTTGGGACACCTCTAGGTGGACTTGAACCTTTTGGTTAGTACTACCCAAGGTACTAATGTTACCCAACATTTGTTATTGTTGTTAAAAGCCTTCAAGTCAGTTCCAACTTGGAGCAACCCTATATAGCATTTCCAAGGAGTGGCTGGTGGATTTGAATCACTGATTTTGCAGTTCAAACCAACCTTGTGGTTATCCTACAATGCCACACCAGGACTCCAACATTGTTGTTGTTGTTTAGTGCCATAAAGTTGGTTCCAAATCATAGCAACACTGTATAGGGGTTCTGAGGAGAAGCTGGTGGGTTTGAACTGCTGACTTTGTAGTTTGCAGTCCAGTGCTGATCCTACAGCGCCACGCCAGGAGTCCAATGTAAATACCATGATGTTGTTGTTAGGTGTCATCAAGTCACCTTCAGCTCATAGAGCCCTTATGTACAACAGAAATAAACGCTGCCCAGAGATGCACCATCCTCACAATTGCTGTTGCAATTGAGTCCATTGCTGCTGTCTCTGTGACAGTCCATTCCATTTAATTATGGGAATAATTAAATAGAATTGCACACCCACCCCAATTTGATCCTGTATGGGAAGGACAACATCAAACTTAATGGTAAGTGGTTCCAAACTTGAGCATTTTCTACTCTGCCGGTTTAACTTGTATGGAAATTACAGTCCTGGAAAGTCTTGGCTAGCTCCCAGGTGTGGGTTATAGAGTATGGTGAATTCAAAAAGAAAACAAGTAGCAAATAGCTTTTATTCCAATTCATATTTTAAAAAGGAAGAACAAAAGAAGCCCACTGAGAAAGCACATAGCTATTGCATAGGAGCTTTCAGGAGAGAAGGCCTCTTAGTGACAGGGTTGTTGTTGTTGTTAAGTGATGTTGAGTTGATTCAGACCCATAGTGACCCTGTATAGGGTTTCCAAGGAGCAGCTGGTGAGCTTGAACAGCCGACCTTACAGTTCAAACGGCTTTGCAGTCTGGCGCATTAACCCACAGCGCCACACCAGGATTCCGAAGTGACAGTGACGCCAATAAACTATGTTTGTACAACCATGGGAGTCCTGGTGTGGTGCTGTAAGATAAGCATAGGACTATAAAGTTGGTTTGAAATACAAGATCGGCAGTTTAAACTCATCAGCCACACCACAGAAACCCTATACTGGGTTCTGATGAGTTGAAACAGACTCAACATGACTTAACAACAACAACAACAACACACAACCATGAGACAAAAATTCCATGATGCCACAAGACCTAAACAGAAGACTTCACTACTGCCGCTGTTATTTTAGACAGGGGCAGACCTGGTTGATGTGGGAGGACTTGAATTCTCCATCACTGTTGCCAATAATTCACCTTTCTCAGAAGTTCTGGGAAATGTGGATTCTGGAACTCAAGTAGCCATTTTGGGTCAATATGACCCAATTATTCAGCATTGATTAGTCGTCTTCTTCAGAGTTTTCCTCAGTGGACATTCTGCTATCTTATCAAGAAAATCACACAAACTGGTTGGGGATCTGAGAATCACCTCAGCCACTGATTACACTAAAGGCTGAGAAAGCAAATCAAAAAAGCACTAGCACAAGAGGAAAAAGCGCATGTCCAAAGAAAAAGGAAAAAACAAAAAGTAATACTGTTCTTGCAGAGAAACAAGGAGAGACAGTTGTAGTGTAGCAGCCTTGTCTTCAAGGTACCAAACAGTTAAATGGCTGAATTTATGCAACAGATAGAGGAAAGAAGGTGGGTGGATAGGAAAGAAACACATCTGGTTTTCCAAGATTTTTTTTTTTTTTAATGAAAATACTCTGATTTTCTCTTGGTGAGGTGAGAGCCAGTTTTTGCTTTTAGAGTTGTTAAGAGGACTCAGCGGGTACTCACACCTACATAGGAGTTTTTCTGACTGGACATGTGCATTTGTTTTGTTTTGTTTTTCAAGGTTTGGGGAAACTGCAGCTGAAGTGGTATGCAGGCTTTCCTTAGAGAATCAATTCTTATTTGCACATGTCCTTTTTAGCACACATATCACCTTAGGATCATGGCAGAAGACAGATAAATTCTCCCTCCAACATACCTAATTCTAGGTTATGCTCAATAGTGAGTCTCAACCTTGTGACCCTTGGAACTGAGCGTGACTGGCAGACCTGGTCTTACAATAAGCATCGTGCTATTTGTCTGAGCCATGTTTACATTTGATACATAGAAGGCAGTGAGCGAGAAATGGCATGGTATGTAATCGAGGTTGCAAAAAGACACGCTAAAGATCAGAAATAACCTGCAGTTGTGTTTGCTGTCACCTGAGCAACATTTGAAAATTAGAGCTTAGACCTTTAAAAAAAAAAAAAAAAATCAGGTTTTTCAGGGCTGGGTCTCAGTTCTACTGAAACTATTCTAAAATATAGAAAAGGAAGGACTACTTCCTAACTCATCTATGAAGCCAGCATCACTCTGACACAAAAGCCAGGTAAAGACACCACACATAAAAGAAAACTATAGATTAATATCCCTCGTGAAGGAACTCTGGCAGTGCAGTGGTTACGAGTCGAGCTGCTAACCTCAAAGTCAGCAGTTTGAAACCATCAGTCTTTCTACAGGAGAAAGATGAGGCTTCCTGCTCCCATAAAGATTTAGAGCCTCAGAAACCCTATGCAGGGTTACTCTAAGTCGGAACTGACTCCACAACATACCACCACTGCCCCCCATGATTACAGACGAGCAAATTCTAGTGAGCAAAATTCAACAACACATTTAAGAAAGCCATGCATTATGATCAAGTGGGATTGAAAACAGGATTATAAGGGTATTCAACATTATAAAATCAATCAATGTAATTAATCAAATACATGAAACAAAGAAAAGGAACCAAATAATTATTTCAATTGATGAAGAAAAAGCATTTGATAAAATCCAACATCCTTTCCTGATTTTAAAAACAACAAATTCTCAGCAGAAGAGAAATTCCTCAACATAATTAAGAGTATACATACAAAACCCTACCACTTGTCTGTCAGCTTGTTTTACTGTGGTGGCTTGC